CCTTGGCCTCCAAAGTGCTTGGATTACAGGTGTGAGCCACCACACCCGGCCATGCATTCTTACTAACCAAGGTCCATAGTTCATTCAGATTTCCTTGGTTTTTCCCCAATGTCTTTTTTCCAGTTCCAGGCTCTCATCCAGGATATCATATTACATTTACTTGTTCTGTCTATTTAGGCTCCTCTTGGCTTTGACAATTTCTCCAGATTTTCTTGAAGACCTTAACAGTTTGAGATGGACTGGTCAGCTATTTTGTAGTATATTCCTGAATTAGGATTTTTTCCTGATTTTTTTTCTCTCATAATTATGCTAGGTTTATGAGATTTGGGGAAGGAGACCACAGAAGTAAAGTGTCATTTTCCTCATATCATATCAAGTGTACGTGCTATCAATAGGACTCTCATTGTGGATATTTCCCTTGATAAAATGGCTGAGGTGGTGTTGTCAGGTTTCTATATGCTAAATTTTCTCTCTCCACCCCTCCTTTTCATACTGCATTCTTCAGGAGGAAGTCGCTATGTACAGCCCATAGTTAAGAAGTGGCAAGTTACACTTCACCTCCATGGGCACAGCCTATCTACATGAATTACTTGAAATTGTTCTGTACAGATTTTTCTATTCTTCCCCAATTTAATTATTCAATCATTTATGTCACTGGAGACTCATTGATATGTATTTTATATAATGAATTAAAATCCATTATTACCTGATTTATTTTGTTGTTTGGTTGGTTTCAGTTTTGGCCACCGGGGGCTCTTTCACTTGGTTCCTTTGCCCCTTTGACATGTCCTATCAATACTGTGTGTGTGTGTGTGTGTGTGTGTGTGTGTGTGTGTGTGTGTGTGTGTTTGTGTGTGTGTGTGTGTGTGAGAGAGAGAGAGAGAGAGAGAGAGAGAGAGGGAGAGAGAGTGAGAGACTACAAAATAACCCAGCCTCATTTTATGTATGCCCTGCCACAGCCCTTGAATCATCCATTTCTCTTTATCAGAGAACAGTATTAGACACCAAGACCTAGGTACTAGGTGTGTTCATTTCCACTTGAGTGGCAGTACCTTCTAAACCCTCCAGCTGGCAGGGCAAGAAAAATCTAGTAGGTTTATAAATCTGATTATTTACATAACTGCATAAACGTTTCAACGTGCAATCACCTATATCTAAATTAGGCAAAACCGGATGATTTTTTTGAAATCCTTCTATTCAGAAAACGTTTTAGTTACCCTGTTTTTACCAGGCATTACTCTGGGAACACCAATTATGGTGTAAAAGATAGCATTATTGTCACCATTGCCTCTAGGTTTAACTCGGAGGCCAGTAAAGAGATGCTTAATAATAGAGCCCAGTTGAATTTTACTGGGCTCTATTATAGCATGCAAACCAACACAGAGAAATGGCATCTGACTCCGATATTTTGACATTTCAGCATTGCCGTTCAGGTGTCTACAGAATTCACGCAGACAAATGAACAAGGAGGAGGAGAATTGGAAACTGTGAAACTCTGAGAAACAGTGGAGGCCTAGAGTTGCCAGAACTTCTGATTTATAAAGAGCCACATACCTGCTTTTTAATGTGTTTTGTCACAATTTTTAAAACATTTTAATTTTGGCAAATGTATATATATACATTTATGATACATAACATGTACCATCTTAATCATTTTTAAGTGCTCAGCAGTTTTAAGTATATTCATATTCTTCTACAACAAACATTGACAATGTTTTCAGTTCTAAATCCTGAAACTCTAGACTTTATGCAGCCTTTGCACCTCTCTGCTGGAGCCAGTGGGCAAAAGAAAAGAAAAGAAACAGACAAAAATATGTTTCCCCTAAAACAATGATTCTCTGTTCCCTTCTTCCCCTAGGCCCTGGAAAACACCATTCTATTTTCTGTTTCTATGAGTTTTGTTACTCTAGGTAACAAAACTAGGTACTCTAGTACCTAGGTACTCCAGGTACCCAATTTAAGTGGTATCAGACAGGATTTATTGTTTTTTGGCTGGCTTATTTAACTCAGGAAAATGTCATCAAGGTTTATCCATGTTGTATCATGTGAAAGGATTTCCTTCCATTTTAAGGGATGATAATATTCCATTGCAAGCATATATCACATTTTGTTTATTCATTCGTTCATTAACGAACATTTGCATTGCCTCGATTTTTTGGTTACTGTGGACAATGCTTCCAGGTAAATGGGATTGCAAGCATCTCTTCACAACTACTGTCAATTCTTTTGAATATAAATCCAGAGGTGACATTACTGGGTTATATGGTAGCTATATTTTTAACTTTTTGAGGAACCATCATACTGTTCTTCATAATGGCTATATCGTTTTACATTTCCACCAAGAGTGCACAGGAGTCCTAATTCCTCTACATCCTTGCTGTTTCAGTCCATTTTCACACTGCTATAAAGGAGTCCTAATTTCTCTATATCCTTGCTGTATCAGTCCATTATCACACTGCTATAAATGTGATTTTTAAAGGGAAGAGGCTTAATTGGCTCACAGTTCAGCATGGCTGGGGAGGCCTCAGGAAATTTAACAATCATTGTGGAAGGTGAAGGGGAAGCAAGGCACCTTCTTCATAAGATGACAGGAAGGAGAACTGCCAAGCGAAATGGGAAGAGCCCTCTATAAAATTATCAGATCTGCTGAGAACTCACTCACTATCATGAGCACTGCATGAGGGAAACCACCCCTATAACTCAGTTGCCTCCACCTGGTTTCTCCCTTCACATATGGTGAACGTGGGGATTACAATTCAAGACGAGATTAGGGTGGGGATGCAAAGCCTAATCATATCACTTGCCAAGGCTTGTTTTCTGTTTTGATTTTGTTTTTAATAGTGGCATTCCTAAATGGTGTGAGGCAATATCTTTGTGGTTTTGATTTGAATTTCCCTAACGATTAGTGTGTTGAACATTTTTTCACGTTTTCTTGGTCATTTGTATACTTTTTTTTGAAGAAATATCCATTCAGGTGTTTTAGGCAATTTTTAATTAGGTGAGGTTTCTATTGTTGTTGTTAAATGTAGGAGTTCTTTAAATTTCCTGAATATTAACTTCTTATCAGATATATGATTTACAAATATTTTAAGCCATTCTATAAGTTACCTTTTCACTCTGTTGACTGTGTCCGTTGATGCACAAAAGTTTTTCATTTTGATTAGTTTTTCGTTTTGATTAATATCAATTTATCTATCTTTTCTGTTGTTGCCTGTGATTTGAAGTTCCATCCAAAAATTCCTTGCCAAATCTGATGGTATGAAGCTTTTCTATGTTTTCTTTTATTAGTTTAGTATTTTTTTTAGTTTTTTTTTTTTTTTTTTTTTTTTTTTTTTGAGACGGAGTTTCGCTCTTGTTACTCCGGCTGGAGTGCAATGGCGGGATCTCGGCTCACCGCAACCTCCGTCTCCTGGGTTCAGGCAATTCTCCTGTCTCAGCCTCCTGAGTAGCTGGGATTACAGGCACGAGCCACCATGCCCAGCTAATTTTTTGTATTTTTAGTAGAGACGGGATTTCACCGTGTTGACCAGGATGGTCTCGATCTCTTGACCTCGTGATCCACCCGCCTCTGCCTCCCAAAATGCTGGGATTACAGGCTCGAGCCACTGCGCCCGGCCTTTTTTAGTTCTTATCATTAGATTTTTAATCCATTTTGAATTAATTTTTTTAAGGTATGATGAAATGGTCCAATTTAATTTTTCATATATAGATATCCAGTTTTCAAACATCATTTGTTGAAAACACTATATTTGCTTATTGAATGGTCTTTAAAATCTTATTTACAATAATTTACTGAGCTCAGTATTCTCTTCCATAAGTCATATTCATCATATCTACAATGTGATGCCTGTCTTTATGCCACTATCCCATTGTTTTACCTGCAGATTTGTAATAAGTTTTGGAATCAGGATGTATGATTGATGCCTCTAATTTTGCTCTTGGTTTTCAAATGTAAACTCTTGCTGTTTTTGGTGTCTCTTGCAATTCCACATAAATTTTAGGATGGAGTTTACTATTTCTCAGAAAAACACCATCACAACTTTGAGAGATCACAACAACTCTGTAAATTACACTAGGTAGTTCTGATACATTAATAAAAATTGTCTCCCAATCCATGAACATAGAACATCTTTCCATTTACTTGTACTTTCTTTAATTCAGAAATATTTTGGAGTTTTCTGTATACAAATCTTTGCTTCCTTCATTAATTCTAAATATTATATTTTTTGCCATTTTAAATAAAATTTCTTTCAGACAGTTCACTGTTAGTGTATAGAATTCCAACTGACTTTTGTGTGTCTATTTTCTATCTGCCAATTTTGCTAAAATTACTACTTTTAACTTTTTTATGGACTTTTTAGGGATTTCTACATATAAGGTCACGTAGTCTGTGTTCTTTTTATTCTGAAATAGTATTTCATTTTACTACAGTCTGCTTTTCTTTGTTTCAGTTTCTATTAGTTACGAATAAAGCTGCTATGAACAAATATGAAAAATCCTGTATATTTTTTTCGTGGGGACATATTTGTATTTCTCTTGAATAAATACTTACGAGTATGCATGTAGCATTGTATATTAAGATAATATTTCACTTGGTAAGAAACTGTCAAACTGTGTTCCACAGTGGCTGTGCCATTTTGCATTTCTAGCTGTAGTGAATGAGTTTCTGCTGCTCTGCATCTTTGCCAGCATGGTTGATTTTCTGAATTGTAGCCATTCTAACGAGGTTGTAGTAATATCTTGCTGTTTCCTATTTAGTATTATACATAGATGACAATTTATAATTTACATAGACTATAAGTATATCACAAAGGTATTAGCAAATAAAATTGAAGCAATGGCTATCAAAATACATTCTGATAGGAACAAGGGTGTCTCCACAAAAATAATAATTATTACTATTATGTCATTTTTTTAAAATGTCTTGCTTAGGACGTTTCTACCAGGGCTGACACCTGGAAATTTATACTGTGGCACTGATGTCTTGGCTGTTCTTCTTCACAGGACATAATCTCATATTGACATTTCACTCTTGTTTTTTAGGATTAAAGTTTATTACTGGGAGTATTGAGTTTGGCTACATTTTGTTGCTTTGTTAATATTCTATTTTGCAGAGAACTGAATGGAATATTCCTTCCATTCATTTTTCATTGTTGTTGTTATAGACAAGGACTTGTTCCCAATGGTCTTGGAATATTCCCTCATGTAAGAATGTTTGTGTGATGCTGGGCAGCCCAAAAGGGCAAACAACTTCTATTATGTGACTTGCCAGAGAAGGTTTCTGTGATAAGAATTATTTGTTTGTTTGCTTATTTCTTTATTTATTGAGACAGAGTCTCTGTTACCCAGGCTAGAGTGCAGTGGTGCAATCTTGCCTCACTGCAACCTCTGCCTCCCAGTTCAAGCGATTTTTCTGCCTCAGCTTCCCAAGTACATGGGATTACAGACATGCGCCACCAAGCCAGGGTAATTTTTGCATTTTTGGTAGAAATCGGGTTTCACTATATTGGCCAGGCTGGTTTAAAACTCCCGACCTCAAGCAATCTGCTCATCTTGGCCTCCCAAAGTGCTGGGGTTACAGGCGTGAGCCACCAGGCCTGGCAAATAAGGAGACTTTTAATCTAATGTCTGAATGACAGCAGGGGAGTAGGGAGCGCAGTCATGAGACCACTGGGTCTCTTTAGAACCCAAGAAAACAAGAGGAGAGAAAAGTGAATCATGTCAAATGCTGAAAACAAAAACCACACCAACAGAAGTCTATGTCCCAGGAAACTATGCTTCTAAAGAGGAGGAATAAACTCTTAATCCAACAAACAATAGTAAACAATGCCTTGCCAGGGGCTCTGCACTACAAGAAATGTTGTAGGAATTCCTGCAGGGATTGGAAACATAAGTCTGAAGCTCAGATCCACACAAGCAAAGAACTCCAATGAAAGAATAAATGAAAGTAAATAAATTATCTTGCTTCTCTCGTTTTTGATTGTCAACATAACTCTTTGTTTTAAATAGCAATACTAACAATATGTGGGGTGATTAAAGAGCATGGATAAGTAAAATGATAGTAACTGACAAGAGATGGGAGGGAGGAATTAGGAACTTTCTGTGATAAGGTACCTGTATTACACATGAAAAAGCAGCACAGTGCTCTCTGAAAGTGCACGCAGATTTTAAAATACATATAGCAGAAACTAAAGCAAACACTAATTATTTTCAAAAGCATAATTGATACAGTAAGAGAAAAGACGTAATGGGCTTAATCAAATGCTTAAGGTAAACCAAGGAAGTTAAAAAAGAGTGTGTGAGGGGGACAAAGAACCAATGAAGCAAATAGAGAAAAGTTACAAACATGGTGGATATTAACTCAGGTATATTAATAATAACTTTATATTTAAATGGTCTAAATAATCAACCAAAATAAACAAATTATCAAGGGAATATAAAAGATCCAAGTCTAACTTCTATAAGAAACGCATTTTCAATGGAGACTTCTAGAGGTTTAAGGTAAAGGGATGAAGTAAAACACACTTTGCTAACAGTAAAGATAGCCGGAGGAGATATATTAATGGCAGACAAAGGGGACTTAGAGCAAGGAGAACTGTCAAAGGTAAGGAGGGTAATTGAATAATGATTAAGTGAGGAATTAAATAAGATAAAGCAAAATAATCTCAAAGAAGACATAGCAATATTAAACCATCTAACAACAGAATGTCACTATATGTATGGCAAAAACACTGAATGAACCGAAAGGAGAAATAGACATATACTATAATTGTGGCCTTCAATGGCATTCTTTCAAAAATTGATAGTCCAAGCAGGTAACAGTTGTTTAAAAATATAGTTGCAATGAACAGTACCATCATTCAAATTGTTATAAAAGACTTTTATAGAATATACCAGTTACAGAGAGCAAAATATACACTTTTCCAAGCTTATATGGAAATATCATAAAAGCAGACTATCCTCTACGCCAGAAAACACATTTTAACTATTAAAAAAATATTAATTTTACCAAATACGTTCCCAGATAATCAGGAATTTAAACCAAAAATCAATAAAATAAAGATAGCAATAAAATCTCCAAATATTTGGATATTACTCATTACCCTTCTATACAGCATGTGATTTATGAAAAGTCTGAAGAGAATTTAAAAATATTTTGAACTTAAGACAAGTGAAAATAATCTTACCAGTATTTGTGACATCCAGGAAAAGCCGTGCTTAGAGATAAATGTATGCCACTGAACGCATGTATTAGTAAAGAAGGCTAAAATCAATGATCTAAGCCCTCACAACACAAAATCAGAAAGAGCAGCAATCAAAGCCTAAAGCAAAAAGAAAGCAAATCATAAAAATTACAGGGGAAATCAATGAAATGGAAAGCAAACACAGAAAATAACAGGAAAAAATTAAGGAAACTTAATGTTTGTTTTTCTAAAAGATAAAGAAAATGATAAATTGCTAGGAGACTCAGCAGGAAATAAAGAGAGAAAGATACGAATTACTAGTGTCAGAAATGAAAGAGGTCATCCTTATTGATCCCATGGATACTAAAAGGCTAATAAAGGAACACTGTGAACAACTCTATGTCTACAGATTTGATAATTTACATGATTTGGGTCAATTGCCATAAGAAGAAATAGATAATATGAAATGGTCTATGTTTATTAAAGATATCTAACCAATAAATAATACCATTACAAATAAGGCACCAAATCTAGAGAGTTCCCTTATAAAAAATATTTTTAAATACTGTTACATATTTAATGAAGAAATAATACTAATTCTCCACTATTTTGTCTAGAGCACAGAAGAAGAGGCAACAGTTTATAACTCATTTATGATAATATAATTAACCTAACACCCACAAAAGTTTTTGAACACATTACAAAAAAATTAAGAACAATATTTCTCATGAATATAGCTACAATGACTGAACAAAACATTAGCAAATCAAACTCAGTAATGTATACACCACACCAAATGAGATTTATTCCAGTTACGCATGAGTGAATCAAAGCTTGCATTCCAAAGAAACTCACTATTCCAAAAAATCTACCAGAAACAAAAACAAAACAAAACACAAAACCTCTTAGAACTAATAAAGAAGTATATATTAAAGGATAGACATTTAACATAGAAGTGTTAATTACTTTCTATTTATCAACAATAAACAACTGAAATTTGAAGTTTGAAAAACAATACTGTTTATAATAACACCAAAGAATTGACACACTTGGGTACAAATTTGACAACATATGTATAAAATTATATATGGAGACTTACAAATCTCTGATGACAGAGCAAAGACAGTCTAAATTAGTAAATGTTCTATATTCATGGACTTGAGGACTCAACATTGTTTAGATGCTGATTTTCTCAAGCTGATCAATGGATTTACTAAAATTCTCATCAAAATCCCAAAAGCTATTTTGTAGATATTTAAAAGTGATTTTAGAATTTATATGAAACAGCAAAAGACTTTAAATGGCAACAGCATATTGGGAAAGAAAAAGAGGGCTCATGTTTCCCAATTTTAAAACTTAAACTACGACAAGGCAGCATGGTGTTGACAAAAGAATACACACTGATCAATAGAAGAGAACAAAAAGACCAGAAATAGCTCCACACAAGTATAATCAATTGATCAACAAAGAAACAATGGCACTTCAAGGAAAATTTGTAAGTTTTTTGACGAATGTGTTGAAACTATTAGAAAGTAGTATGCAAGAAAAAATAAAATTAGATATGTTACCTCTTTCACAAAAATGAACTCAAAATTAATCATGGACCTAAATTTAAAATGCAATACTATAAAAATTCTTAAAGAAAGTAGAGTATACGGTGACCTTGAGCTTGGCAATTAGCTTTTAGATGCATCAAAGACATAATTCATGAAATAAAAGACTGATGAGCTGGAATATACTAAAATTTACAGCTTTTCCTCTGCAAAATGTACTTTTAAAAGAATGAAAATACAAGCCAAAAATACTGAGAAAATCTTTTTGAAACATATGCATCATAATGGAGTTGTATCCAATATATACAAAGCACTCAATATGCAACAATTGGAAAGCAGGCAACCCAATTTTTTTAAATGGGCAAAATCTCTGGATAGATACATTACCAAAGAAAATATAAATAAGACAAATAAATACATAAAAAGAGTCTCAACATCGTTTGTCATTAGAGAGTTGTACATTAAAACAGCAATGAGATATTACTACACACCTATTAACATGGTTTCCATCCAGAAAAACTACCACCACCAAATGTTGGCATGCATACAGAGCAACAGGAACATTCCTTTACTACTGGGTGATACACAAAATAGTATAGCCACTTTGGAAGACAGTTTGGCAGTTTCTTATAAAGCTTAAGATAGTCGTACCATACAATTCAGCAATTGCCTTTTGAGCCAATTGATTTTTAAAAATATATCCACACATAACCCTGCATGGGGATGTTATAGCACTTTGTATAATAATTGACAAATAGTAGAAGCAAGTGTGATGACCTTCAACAGGTAAATCAATAAATAAAATGTACTGAGTCCATATAATGAAATATTATTCAGTAACAAGAAAAAGAAAAAAAAGCATTCAAAACAGAAGAAAAGACAGTCAAAAGTCTTATATACACCTTGCTAAATGAAAAAAGCCAATCCACCAAGGCTAGATTTTCTACAGTTTTAATTATTTAGTATTCTGTTAAAAGAAAAACTAAAGAAACAGTGAAATGATCAGTGACTTCCTGATGGTCATGGCCTGGATAAATGGAACAGATGGATCCTAGAGGAATTTTTTAGGGCAGTGAAACTATTCCATATGACTTTGTAATGGTGGCTACAGACATGATATTATGCAGGTGTCAAAATCCATTGAGCTTACAATCAAAGAGTTAAATTTAATGTATGAAACTCTTGCAATAAAAACAACTTAGGAGGCTGAGAGATATGATGAAATGCAGAATGTGACAAAAAATTCTTACTGTATTACAAATGTTTGAAGCAACTTCACTTAAAGTCTGTAAGACAAAAAGAAAAGGAACTGAGCGTAATTCTTCTACTCTACCTGATAAAATTGTTTCCCACTGTGAAATGGGCTGTGATACTGCTGTATATATATAGTAGATTAGAAGAATTAAATAAATGAATGACAGGTAATATAACCATTTGTTAGAATGGGAGGTTACAGATGAGCAAGGGGAGGAGGCTGTGGTGTCTCATGTGATAAAGGATTGAGTTAGAGACAGCAGTATAAACTCAGGGATCGTTAATAACAGTTACATATAGAAATGTGTATGAACAGATACAAGCACACCTGTTTCCTTGTGCTTGACTTAACTGACAGATACTGCATATTTAATATACTGAAGGTTTGTAACAAGCCTGTGTGGAGAAAGTTTATCAGAGCATTTTTTTTTCCAACAGCAGGTGCTCATTTTGTGTCTCTGGGTTGCATTTGGGTAATTTTCACAATATTTTGACTATCTCAGATGGTCAAACTACCTGAAAAATAGATTTTTTATGATATTATTTAACAGACATTATTTTAACAGAAATTATTGTATCTGTTATGGTGACCTGTGATCAGTGATTTTTTTTTTGAAACAGTTTCACTCTGTCACCCAGGCTGGAGTGCAGTAGTGTGATCTCAGCTCACTGTAACCTCCATCTCCCAGACCAAGTGACACTGTTGCTTCAGCCTCTTGATGATCAGTGATCCATGATGTTGCTATTGTAATTATTTACAGGGTGCCACAAACCACACCTATATAAGGCAGCAAACTTAACTGATAAATGTTGTGTGGCTTCTGCCTGTTCTACTGACTGATCATTTCTCCATTTTTCTCCCTCTCTGCAGGCTTCCCTATTCCCTGGGACACATGATTTAAATTAGGCCAAGTAATAACCCTGTCTTGGCCTATAAGTGTTCAAGTAAAAGGAAAATTCACACGCCCCTCACTTTAAATCAAAAACTAGAACTCATTAAGCTTAGTGAGGAAGGCGTGTTGAAAGGTAAAACAGGGCAAAAGCTAGGCCCCTTGCACAGCAGTTAGCCAAGTTATAAATGTAAAAGAAAAGTTACTGAAGGAAATTAGAAGTGCTGCTTCAGTGAAAATACAAATGGTGAGAAGTCAGACAGCCTTATTGCTGATATGGAGAAGGTTTTAGTTGTCTGAATAGATCCAACCAGCCACAACATTCTGTTAATCCAAAGCCTAATCTAGAGCAAGGCTGTAGCTCTCTTTAATGCTATGAAATGTGAGAGGAAGAACACTAGAGAAGAAAAGTTGGAAGCTAGCAGAGGTTGGTTCATGAGGTGTAAGGAAAGAAGCCATCTCCATGCCATAAAAGTGCAAGGAGAAGCAGTAAGTGCTGCAGAAAGTTATTAAGAAATCTAGCGAAGATAAATGATGAAGGTGGCTACCCTAAACAACACATTTTCACTGTAGACAGAATAGCCTTCTGCTGGATACCTTCTAGGACTCTCATAGCTAGAGAGGAGAAGTCAATGTCTATTTCAAAGCTTCAAGGAACTGGCTGGCTGTACTATTACAGGCTAATGCAGCTGGTGACTTTAAGTTGATGCCAATTCCTGTTTATCATTTTGAAAATGCTAAGTCCTTAAGAACTAAACTAAATCTACTCTACTTGTACTCTAGGAATAGAATAACAAAGTCTGATTGACAAGATATTTGTTTACAGCATAGTTTACTAAATATTTTAAGCTCACTGTTGAGACATACTGCTTACAGTATGTCTGTAAAAGATTCCTTTCAAAAGTTACTGCTTGTTGACAATACTCCTAGTCACCTGAGAGCCCCAATGGAGATACAAAACAAGATTAATGTTGTTTTCATTCTTCCTAACACCACATCCATTCTGAAGTCCATGGATGAAGGCATAATCTCAACTTTTGGGTTTTGTTATTTAGAAAATACATTTCATAAGGTGATAGCTCCAAAAATAGTAATTCCTATGAGGGATCCAGGCCAAGTTGATTGAAAACCTTCTGGACAGGATTCACCACTCTAGATGCCATTAAAACAATTTCTGCCTCATGGGAGAGGCCAAAATATCAACATTAACAGGAGTTTGGAAAAAGTTGATTCTAACCCCATGGAAGACTTTGAAGGGTTCAAGTTTTCAGTGTAGGAAACAACAACAAACAGTGAAAATAGCATGAAAGCCGGAATTAGAAGTTGAACCTGGGCCTGGCGTGGTGACTCACTCCTGTAATCCCATTACTTTGGGAAGCAAAGGCAGGTAGATCACCTGAGGTCAGGAGTTTGAGATCAGACTGGCCAACATGAAAAAACCCTGTCTCCACTAAAAATAAAAACATTAGCTGGGTGTGGTGGCATGCACCTGCAATTCAATCTACTTGGGAGGCTGAGGCAGGAGGATCACTTGAACCTGGGAGACGGTGGTTGTAATGAGCTAAGATCATGCCATTGCACTCCAGCCTGGTGACAGAGTAAGATTCTGTCTCAAGAAAGAAAAAAAAAAGTAGAACTTGAATATGTAATGAGTTGCTACAATGTCATGATAAAACATGAATAGATGAGGAGCTGATTTTTATGGAAGAGCAAAGAAAGTGGTTTATTGCAAAGGAAACTCTTCCTGATGAAGGTGCTATGAACATTCTTGAAATGACGACAAAGGATTTAGAATTTACATAAACTTAGTTAATAAAGCAGTAGTGGGGTTTGAGAGGATTGACTCCAATATCAAAAGAAGTTCAAAATGCTATTCAACAGCATCACATTAGAGAAAAATTTTTCATGAAAGGAAGAGCCAATAGATATGGCAAAGTTCATCATTGTTTTATTTTAAGAAATTGCCATAGCCACGCCAACCTTCAGCAGCCACTACTCTAATCAGTCATTAGTCATCAACACTGAGCAAAACTCTATCCCAGCAAATAGATTATGACTCACTGAGAGCTCAGATAATTGTTAGTGTCTTTAGTAATTAAGCATGTTTAATTAGGGTATATACATTTTTAAGAAATCATGCTATTGCAGGTATAACAGACTACAGTATTTTTAAAATATAGCTTGTATATGCACTTCCATATAGGTATTTACATAAATCAAAAAATTTACATGACTTGCTATAATGTGATATTCTCTTTTTTCTCATTTTATTTTTTATTTTTACTTCAATAGTTTTTGGGGTACAGCTGGCTTTGGGTTACAGGTGCAGGTTCTTTAGTGATGATTTCTGAGATATTGGTGCACCCATCGTTAGAACAGAGTACATATACCATATATGTAGTCTTTTATTGCAGTGTCTAGAACCAAACCCACAGTATCACCAAGGTATGCCTCTATGTGTATACAAACAGGCATATATACATACATATATTTCATTGTATTTCTGAGGTGTGCCTCTTTATATATGAACAGGCATGTATACACAAGTTCTCTTACTAGCTGAGAAGGCCAAGGAAGCACCACTACTCTGCACACCTAGAACCCAGATTTTGATTTCTAATATCATTCTCTAATAAAGGCAAGCAGAGTTTCTAGGGGAAATGTCTAATTCTTGGACTAGCAGGAAATATGCAAGATCTGCCTGAAAAGTATGTTAGCACCAGAAGTTGAGGAGCTGATAAAAAAATAAGATAAAATAAAAATAAACCTACTATATTAGGGTGTTTAAAAGTGACACTGAAATCAATAGAAAGAGTTCCCAATCCCAAAACTGGACCCATTTGACAAGTAACATATATAAGATAATATTGGATTATATCCCAAAATATAAAATAGATATTTATGAGTTCATAGTAATTTATCAAAATGATCGGATAAATAATAAATTGAGATGACTAGATAAATCTCTGTTAATAGAATTCTAAATAATTTATGCAGATAGCCTGCCCTCACACAGTAAAGCACACTTTTCAACTAAATAATTGGCATTGTGCATAGGGGCATATTTCTTGAAAATACAGTCTGGAAAGAAAAAGTACATTTACAATGAAGAATTCTGAAAAACTCTATCTCAGTCCAGTGATCAGGGTTATTATCAATGGTAATAAGTCATGCTGGTAGTTTTCTCTTGCTATGGTGTGATAATAATGGCAATTTCACTCTGTGGTCTTCCTCTAGAAAAACACATAAACCCAGTACACACACACACACACACACACACACACACACACACACCAGAAAAATCTCGGCTGAAGGACATTCTACAAAACAACCTAACCAGTACTATTTAAAACTTTCAGAATCATCAAAAAATCAAAAAGAAGGACCCTGAAGAGACATGACTATTAAATACAATGTGTATTCTGATGGGATACTGGAAGAGGAAAGAAAAGTCATTAGGTTAAAACTAATGAAACCTGAATAAAGTTTAAGCTTTCCTTAGTAATAATATATGAATAGTGATTTCCTGTTATCAAAAGATAATATTAGTAGAGAAACACCTGTGAGGGATATATTAGAATTTCTGGTGCTATCTTTGCAATTTTCTGTCAATCTAAAACCAGAGTAGAGAACCCAGAAATAAAACCATACACCCGCAGCCATTTAATCTTTGATGAAGTGGATAAAAATAAACAACCAGAAAGGGACTCCCTATATAATAAATGGTGCTGGGATAGCTGGCTAGACATAGCAGAAGAAAGAAACTAAACCCCTACCTTTCACTATATACAAAAATTAACTCAAGATGTATCAAAGAGTTAAATGTATGACATAAAAATGTAAGAATCCTAGAAGAAAACCTAAGAAACACCATTCTGGACATCAGCTTTCAGAAAAAAACTATGACTAAGTCCTCAAAAACAATTGCAATGAAAACAAAAATTGAGAAGTGGGACCTAATTAAACTAAACCACTTCTGCGCAGCAAAAGAAACTATCAAAGAGTAAACACATAACTTACAGAATGAAAGAACATATTCAGAAACTATGCATCCAGCAAAGGTCTAATATCCAGAGTCTTTATTGGAACAATAATCCAAGCAAAAAACAAATAACCCTATTAAAACATGGTCAAAAGACATAAACAGACACTTCTCAAAAGAAGACATACAAGCAGCTAACAAACATATTTTAAAATGCCCATCATCACTAGTCATCAATGAAATGTAAATTAAAACCAGGAAACACCATGGCACACCAGTCAGGATGGCTATTAATAAAGGCTACAGAGAAAGGGGATACTTATACTCTGTGATGGGAATGTAAATTAGTTCAGCCACTGTGGAAGGCAGTTGCAGGTTTCCCCCAAAATTTAAAATATAGCTACCATTTGACCCAGCATTCAAGTTACTGGGTATATATCCAAAATAAAACAAATCATTTTACAGAAAAGACACATGCACTCACAGGTTCACTGCAGCACCACTCACAGTAGCAAAGTCATGGAATCAATGGTGGATTAGATAAAGAAAATGTGGTACATAAACACCATGAAATGTTATATGGCAGTATCCATCAATGATGGATTATATAAAGTATTCATCAATGGTGGATTAGATGAAGAAAATGTGGTACGTATACACCATGAAATGTTACATGGCAGTACGAAAGAACTAAATCATGTCTGTTCTAGCAACAGGAATGCAACTGGAGGCTATGATCCCAAGTGAAATAATACAGGAACAGAAAACCAAATGCCACATGTTCTCACTTATAAGTGGGAGCTAAACATTGGGTACTCATGGACACAAAGATGGCAGCACTGGACACTGAGACAGGAGGGAAGGAAGGGTACAAGACCTGAACAACTAATTGCTGAGTAATATGCTCAAGACCTGAGCAACGGATGTTTCATACCGCAAGCCTCAGCAATATGAAATATACCCACGTAACAAACCTGCACATCTACCTCCACAATCTAAAGTAAAAGTTGAAATATATATATATATCATTATGTGTAAAAAAGGGTATATTTCATTTGGAGAAAAAATATAAAAATTCAAAATAAATGTATATTTTAATCTTTTATTTTAATTACTTCCTCTCTTAGGATCATGATTCAAAAACACTCAAATGAAAAAATAAAAACTAAAACCATTCTAATATAAACAGTTTGTTTAAAAATCAGATATAAAAAGAACAAAGTTTGAGGGCTTATAATGTTTAATTTCAAAACATAGTATGAAGTGAAAAGAATCAAGAATGTAATACTACTGTAAGTACTTGTGAATAAATTAATAGAACAGCTTTAAGAATTTAGAAATAAACTCTAACATTTAGGGCAATTCATTTTCAACAGAAGTGTCAAGGCAATATAATAGGAAAGAATGGTCTTCTCAATAAATGGGACACCTCACCTTACCGTATACAAAAATTAACTGAAAATTGAACTTCGACATAAATATAAAGAGTTAAATCTATAAAACCATTAAAATAAGACATGGCAGTAAGTCTGTATGGCCTTAGATTAGGAAAAGATTTATTAAGGCCCCAAAAGCACAACTGACAAATTTAAATTATTGATAAAGTAGACTTCAAAACCACCAATGCTTTTGAGCTTCAAAAAACACCATTAAGTAATTGAGACTAAGTCACAGCCTACGAAAAGATATTTGTGAATTGTATATCTAACTTATATCCAGGTTACACAAACAAACTTTTAGAAATAAGTAAGAAGCAGCAAACACAATTAATAAAAGTAATATAGGAATATGTAATAAACACAAGAAAAGATGTTTAATATTCTTAGTCATTAGGGAAAGGCAAAGTAATATCAAAATGTGATGCTACTTCATGACAACATCGACATGTAACATGCTTTTTTCAAATTATTTTCTGTTACTTGGTATTGTGTTTCTATTGGAAAACATATACAAGAAGTCTGGATATTTTTCTTGTATCATTCTTTTGTTAATGGATGTTCCTTTTATTTCATGGAGTATTTTATTTCTGAATAATATTGGTTCAACATAAAAATTATTGAATCGAGTATCTCTCATATTCTTGGTCTATCATATCACCTTCTTTTTTGCAACTTTATTCCATTTCGAGATGTTTCCCAACTTTTTTGCAATCTAATTTTTAAAAATGGATAACAACATTTTAATATCCAAGGGCTCTTTATCTTTTTCTCCATGTTCCTTTTATATATAATGGTAGCATTAGTTCATTTACAGACTGATTTTCACCATCTATCTGAAAACATTACAGTATAAAATGCTTTTGTTTAATAAACCTTGCTTTGTCTGTTTCCTTGATTTTTTTTTTCGTTGTTTTAGCCTCTGCCTTTGATGTGGATCATTTTCTTCAAATCTTGATGATCCTTTGGTATCACAAAATATTTGAGAGAGAGACACTGAGAAGCAAATTGACAGCCTTAGGTACAGGATGCATGGTTTATCCATTGGGCTCCATCGTGCAGTTTAGGGTGAACCCTGTTTGCACCAGGAGAATCCAAACCTATTATTTGTGGATTATTTCTGTTAGATCAATTTCACTAAAAAAGAATCCTCTCCCCTTTTCTCTGAGTGGTGAAACCGGCTGCCAGTATTCTGAGAGCTGAAAGGACAAACGCAGAGCACTTACTGCCCAGAAAGTACTTCTCACTGTATTGATGGCAGTGCCTGGGGCTGAATACTCAGAGCCTCTTGAACTCCAATTCGATTGCCTGCTCTTGGCTACACCTCCTCAGCCCTTCCTGTCAACACTCCCAACCGCGATTCCCATCTGAGGCCTGCAGTGGGGATGTTTGCTGGACGGAGGTTTTAGCTGCAGCCCTTTGGCTGTTTAGACGCCTCTCCTCTTGTCTGCCTGCGCTCCATTCTTAAATAAAATTACCAGCAACCCTCGCCTACTGTTTTCTCTTCTCCTTCTCTTTTATCTGCATTATTTGTACCTTTAAAGAATTATTTATCATCATACAAAAAGTGTTTCAAATGGGGAGAGGAGTAAAAACATTCTACCTAATCTCACATCTCTGTATCCATTTGCTTAAGATTGTAGATTTGCTCCTTGGGAAGGCCCTAAAATTGTCTTTTGATAGAGAATTCAGAAAGAGTCAGGGATACAAAGAGTTCCCCTCTTATTAAGATCTTGCATTGGTGTGGGACATTTGTGAACATTGCTGAGCATGTGGCTGTGTTGTCATCCAGTGAGGCCCAGGGTGAGGCCGATTACAGGTTCCTCTTTGTGTGCTGCAGTTCTGCGGGCTTTAACAAATGTTTGTCTTTGACAATGAATGAACTGAACGTTTTAGCTGAAAAAGACATAAGCAATAATCTGCTTCAAACTCTCAATCTTTCAGATGAGAGAAATGAGGGCCAGGGAGATTGATGTCCTTTATCAACACCACACAAAGGAAAGTGTGACAAAACTTTTACCTTGCCTTAAAACCTCCATCCTCATATGGTTTGTTCTCCTTGGCTTGATCAACTGATTATTTTGAAAATAAAATGTCAACTCTGTGAAAATTATGGCATTTGTGTAACACACATTCCTCATTCCAACTTCCCAGAGAGGGCAGTGCCTGAGAAGATCCTTGCAGGATGTGTGAAGGGACTGCAGGCACACCATACCTGCCTTGCTAGCTTTCTCTTCCCAGATTGACCTAGTATAGTTGTGCTGGGAGGTATCCTGTTTTTACTCTCCTCTCTAAGGAAATTGGTGGGGGCCCTACTAAGTAAGTGGTTCTCCAGGCCTGGTTTTGTCTCACTATTAGGAGGAGCTAAGGTTTGAATGTTTGTGTCCCTCCAAATTTTATATTGAAACTTGATCCCCATTGTGGTGGTAGCAGATGGTGCAGTCTTTTGAGAAGTTCTTAAATCATGAGGGCTTCACTTTCAAGAACAGAATTAATTCTTTCATAAAAGAGCTTCAGAGAGCCGCTTGGCCCTTCAAAATTTTTCTGCCATGTGAAGACCCACCCAGCTTTCATCCCTTCCAGAGGAGGCTGCAAAAAGACACCATCATTAAAGCAGAGAGCAGCCCTCACTGGACTCCAAGGCTGCTGGCATCTTAAACTTGGACTTCCCAGCCTCCATGACTGTAAGAAAAAAAATAAAACCTCTGTTAGTTATAAGCTACCCAGTTGAAAGTAATTTTGTTTCAACTGGGTAGCTTATAACTGATAGACAAATGCAGAGCACACACTGCCCAGAATGTACATCTCACTGAGCATTCTAGACGGAGCTTTGCAAAATTGGGTCTTTCGGTTCTCTAAGTTGTCCAATGTCACTAGAAAAGTAAGACCACTAATAAGGACTTGATAAGAAACAGCAGTCAGGGGTACAAGCATACATGTCATTAAAATTCTCCTGTGCTGTCTAGATGTATAACCTCTGTAGGAGAAAGACATGTTGGTTTAGCAAAAAAGGCATTTCTGAAAGTATTAATGGAAAGCTAAGTCTGTAAATAAGACAAGGATATTTTATTTCTCTTCAACTGCAGACGTAGTGCAAACAGTATTTCTGGTCTTTTGGGTTTGCACTCAACATTTCACAGAGCCCTGGGAAATATTAAAGTTAAATTACATTGTATATGGCTTTCCTTGGTGAAAACTAATTCAAAGAAAAACTATCCACTATGGTTAGAATTCTTAAGGAAGTATTAATCACTTAGAGCCCAAAACCCGTTTCCAGATTGTAAACAATGTAATCGTCAGCAGTTAGGTAAAATATGATTTGAAACTCATGATATTTTAATCTAAAATGATCTGTGTGCTCAACTCACATCCTAAATATGTTCCTTAGTGACACATAAAGCCTCCCAGACTGTTCCCATATATAAATTTATGCCTTTCTTCAGATGATTTGTTATAACTCTTGTATTGTTTTTGTCTGATTAATCTAAAGTGAAAAGAATATGTTCTTACTCCAATGGAAGTTTTGAATAAAGTTAAGCATATATCATAACAAGAAAAATGCTTTTAACAAGTATTTTTGCATTAGGTTTTATCAGCATTTGTTTTCACTGTATGAAGGTGTCATTTTAAATTATATAATTTTAGCTACTCATTCTATTCTTTTAGAATTACGGGGTTTTCTTAGAGTTTAGTTCACAATCATAACTTCAGAATTAGGTGTTAATTACTTGCAATTCAAATTACCTAATAAATTCTGAGAATCATAGAAACAAAAAGGAGATGAACATATTTTTTGGAAACCCATAAATCTCAAGTCTGAAAGTGGAAATATTACTTTAAAGGAAGCCTCTGGAGTCAGCTATGCATCCATTTTGCTTTGCCTAATGATCTACTCTTTCAAAACTCTCATAAATGGAAACTTAAGTTATATGAATAGATTATCTTGTTAGAAGCAGGATGCTTTTTAATTCAACAAACACTTTGCTGCTATAGTAAAATCTTAATTTGTATTATTTCTAGTGGATAGATCATCATTGTTATGTTAAATACCATTGTAAATAAACATTGTTTTCATATTACCCCATTTCTAATAGTTTTCTTCAATTTTTTTGCATACACCATTATTAAAATCTAAAGAAGCAATGCCCACATATCAATAAGGTTACATCAGTAGAGTTACTTGTATAGTCTTTCTTTTCACACAAAGTACTCAGTCTCAGTGCTTTTTGCATAGATAGCACTCAGACAATTCTTTATTTATTATTATAATTATTATTTAGACAGGTCTCCCTCTGTCTGCCAGGCTGGAGTGCAGTGGCATGATCTCAGATCACTGCAGCCTCCGCTTCCCAGGTTCAAGCAACTCTGCTGCCTCAACCTCCCAAATAACTTGGATTACAGGCACTTGCCACCATGCCTAACTAATTTCTGTATTTTTAGTGGAAACAGGGTTTCACTATGTTGGCCAGACTGGTCTGGCACCCCTGGCCTCAAGTGATCTGCCCGCCTCGACCTCCCAAAGTGCTGGGATTATAGGCTTGAGCCACCATGCTCAACCACTCAGACAATTCTTGATATGTGATCAGTTTGCTTGTTAAGCAAAAGAAAAATACAGATGACAAGATATAGACATAACCACCAGCTTAACGTGTCTTGGGTTCAGTCGTAAGGAAAGTACCATCAATGTTAACATCAGCAGTGGCAATAGATTGTTTTTTGAGGGGCTTTGGTGTCTTGGAGGCACAACTCATAAGCTTCAAAACACATTCACATGGAAAATAAAAAGACACGCTGCTAGGATGAACGACGAATCCCCATTTTTCACAGGATCTTGCCACTCTTGCTGTGGGTGACCATGTCAACTTCTCACTGGAATTGGCGGAGGGAGCATCGGATGCTGATCAGCAGCCTTGACTCTGTCTGTGTGCAACCCCCCGCAAGGCCCATCATGGGTTCTAATCAGTCAGTCTCCCACCTTGACATGGCAGTGCCCACGAAGAGGGAACATTGAGAAGAACAGCATCATGTGAGCGGTGCCATTTGGTGGCATCAAAATAATGTATGACTGCTTAATTGCCAGGTGTATGCTTGGAGTTTCACACATGTTAATCTCATTCATTCCTATAACATTTATTGGTCGCTCATTCTTATGAATACATATCAGACAGATAGAAAAGGCCAGTTCATTTTGTTTGCCTTAAATTATAATGTTAGTAATGGTTGAGCTGGGGTCTGCAGAGTTGTTGCTCAACACTGAGGCCCTATGTGGCCACCAAGCTGCATGCCAAGCAGTGATGGGCACTGGCTCTAGTTTCCCTTCATGAGGAGGCTGTGGGCTTCTCTTCCTTAACAGTCTTCCAGCCAGAATGCAGTGGGTGATGTGAGTTAAGCCGGCAATTCACCTGCTACACTCCCATACTGGTCCCATGAGAAATATATACAGTAGATGCAAATGCTTCAGGGGTCTAATTTTTGGTATTTTGTTACAGAATCCCATCCAAAAATCTACTGAGCACCCACAGTGGACAATGTAAAATCCCCCTTCTGTATCAAACCTGATAACTCAAACACAAAAGTAACATTTACACTGTTGAAGCCTGCCTGACAGTAAAGCTGATTAGAGGCTGAATGCAGAATTTCTAACAACAAGGAATAGAGTAGGTGCATAAAACTAAAGTTACGTGCACAAATGACATGCTTTCATACCTGCCCAATTTCTTTCTGAATTTGGTATTTTACAAGGAATGTGGCATAACAGCATGCTATTTGAAATAAGAAATGTGGAATATCAGCATGCTTGTTCAAAACCACCTACATTCTCTAAGCTTGTTATACCTTTTTCTGCTCTTGTAGGTTTATTATTAAACATTTAATTAGTATCTCTGTTCTACTGAGGTGTAAGTCTATTGGCTTTAGCTACTAAGCAGTGAGAGCAAAGCATCTAATAGCTGTGGGAAACTCAAAGGTTAGAAATAAATAAAAATATTGCTACCCATATTTCAAAGCTGGTAGAGTTAAGCTTCTCAGAAAAAAATAAAAGTTTATTCTGAAGGACCACATACAATTTGCAATACAATCCTAAATTTCTTTGCTTTATAACAGAATGAGAACCATTCAGAAGTGGAAATATTAGCCCTTTCTAATCTTTCATGCCGCACTAATCTGTTTAATCAAAGCTCCATCTCAGTTTGTATAAGCATCCTGCCTGCCTTCTAAGGCAAATTGCATTCCATCTAACAGCATGTGGTTCTAAAACAGAATGCGCTTGTGTTTACTCCCTAGATAATGAGTTTAAAATCACTTTGTACTTTTGAAGAAAGAGTCAAGTTACAAGCAGCTTCGCTTATGTGACTGTACTTAAAATGTACGTAGGAATCTGCAAAATAGAAGGCTCTGTGCTGTGCTGGTTTCTCACTTGTTTACAAATTTGTTCTAAAATATTACTTTTCTCTGCACATATTCGTAGGAAACTTGGGACTTGAAATAAGTATATTTTACATGAAGTTGAGCACAGAGCAGCAAGAGCATGGCTCAAATAAGATTTTAAGAAGACAAAGACAAGTGACAAATACTAAAAACCTTGATTAGTTATGCGAAGTGTTCCTAATTAAAAACCCTCCTTCCTATCAGCACTTCCACAGCGTGGCATTTCACAGACACTTTAGGTTGCTGCTCTGAGATTGAAATGTATCAACATAGTTTTCTTCAAATAGCTTTGAACAGAGGAGCATTCTATCCAAAAACCAAATAAACTAGAACTGTGACGAGTGAAAGGCCTACAGTGCTCCTTATTTTCTTTGACCTTTGAGTATAAACTTTTAAATACAATTTCTCCCCTAGTATTTCCCATAGTAGCTGTTACAGAAATCAGTGAGGCTTTAGAATGTATTCAATCAACCACGACAGACATGTCTCAGAATGTCTACCACAGTCCTGTTCCTTTTTCTGATTTTTTAATGTCATTTCACCACCCTCAACAGAAGTTCCTTAAGCTTTCAGTTTCTCTGAGCGTTTACCTTAGAGGTCACCTATAATGGAACCACTTAGGTTGGTTGCTAAAATCCACATCCCTGGGCCCACCCAAACTTGCTGAATTAGAATATCCAACTCTAGGGCTTGGGAATCTGCACATTTACAAATCTAAGAAAACATCGCAGTAAAACTGGATGACTACTCTGTCTAGTGCTAAACGTGTCTGCCTTGAGTTTAAGGTTCTCTCTCCTCTTCCTCTCTCTCACCACACACACCTGCACACACAAACACACACACTCACACACATGCAGTCTTTGTATGCCCTTTCGTTTGTTCCTAGGTAATCTATCTGTGGGAGATTGGTTCCAGGAAAAACCTCAGAGAATACCTACACCCATGGATGCTCAAGTCCCTTATATAAAATATTGTATTATTTGCATATGTGACATGGTAAAAGCCCCATAAAATTGCATACCTCAACCATACCTTGGCTTTCTATTGAAACTGCTCTCTGTAACCCAAATGTGACAGGCAAGCAGTCCAAACCCATGACTGTAATTTCCACCCTATCCAAGTGTAAACAAATGCTAATCTTGACTTTTGTGAACCACTTAAGTAACAATCAGAATGTCCAAAGTCCCCTGGCCCTTGGAGTGTCCAGAGCCCCTCACCCTCATCTCGGCCCAGGAGGTGATTTACAGAACCCACTAGCCCTCAGAACGCCTGAAGCCCCTCACCCCCACCTCTGCCCCTCACCCTCACTCCCGAGGTGGTTTTATGGGTATAAAAGGTCTTCACACCCTCCTTTCGGGGCCACGGGTTGGAGAGACATGAGTCCTCCGTGGCCGCCGGCAATAAAGACCCTGCAATTTGGCATACTTTTGTGTTGGTGTTGACTTTCTATGCTTAGGCCAGTACAACACATATAAACTATGCACATCCTCCTGTATGCCCAAATTCATCTTTAGATAACTTGTAATATCTAATATAATGCAAACACTATGTGATAGTTGTTATATTGCTTTGTATTATTTTTATTATTAGTTGTTATTTCTTATTGTTCTTCCCCAAATATTTACTATGGGTGGTTGGTTGAATCTGCCCATGTGAAAACCCATGAGTAGGGAGAACTGAGTGTACTGTCTGAGATTCTACAGGCATAAATGTATGGTTTAAGCTTTTAAACATCTACAGAGATTTAGAGATCTATTTCCCCCAGTGGTATATTTAGTGGACATTGACTGGTAAGGGTGGATATAAAAACTGTAAAAACACAGAAAATGACCATCCATAAGTAAGAATTCTTCAAAACACACTTCATCCTTGAAAGGACTCATTAATCTACTTCTACTTTTAAAAAATCAATTAAGAGAACATTTGAAAATTTGATATCACCCTAAATAAATGTCATATCTACCTAATGAATGAAATGACAGTTTTTAGCAATGCACTAAATTCTTATTTGCACATGGGGAAAATTATGATATTAGGAAAGAGGAAACTCACCACTTCTTCATGTCTGCATTTTCTCACATTAATGCCATTTATCTGCAATGAAAAGAAAAGCATAGTTTCCCATGGCACACTGTAAATTGTTTTAACGTTTAGATGGCATATATAATGACAAAATGTATACCTGTAGAATTGCATCTCCAATAAAAAGTAGGCCTGAAAGCTCCGCTGTAAATGAAAAATGAAAAACCATGGTTGATAACGCATTGACTGTTTCTGTTAGACAGACGAAAGGGCTTTCAATTAATAAAAGTAAAACTTATAAACAGAAAAGTAAGGGTTTTTTTATGGTTAGCATCTTAAAAGATCTACAAAAAAATGGGAATTCAAAACAATATGATTCAGCCTAATTACTGAAACACACGCAGAGATATTTCCATTTACTTTAACTTTTGCAGACCTAATAGTTGACAAACATTAGTCACTCTTCTAAGGGAAGATGACCACATTTTCTCATGCACTTACGACTGTTAGGTCTCCGTGAAAAAGTTTAAGACGCAGACATTCAATCCATCAGCTATGGAATTGGTTCCAAGTTCATACTGAAACATTACATTGTTTTACTAATTTCAGTTCTTGCCACATCTGCTTTCTATCTCCATTATTTTCCCTACAGTTTCATATGAATTGGTAGCTGAGTAAAACTCTGTATGAGAACTGAAAAACAGATACCCAAAATTGTCTTTACTTGACGGGGCTTGTTATCCTTAGTTTTGTATGTTTGTTGGTTTAATAAAACAACTGAAAAGCTGTGCAGTCCCTATCTCATACCTGCTTTCAGAGATTTCTATTTTCATCCTTGCGCCCCTTCTGTGAAAGAAGTTCTTCCCCACAGGAGGATAAAAGGCAAGGACTCAGGAAGCAGAGTCAGCCACTAATGACTGAAGGTGGGGAAGCTGGAGCCAGCCAATCACATCCCGATTTATGGTTCTTAAATATCATCTCACGCTTCAAAAACAATGCCTTACAAATAAATGGCTGGAATACAATTCTGTGGACAGGTTACCTCTTTGCTCCTTGGAGATTTTTGAAACAACAACTGGAATGTTATGTTCTGCTCCTCCCTGAAAAGAGAAAATCATATATTGTATTTTTTAATCAAAAAAAATGTGCTACTTTTAGCTGAGAAACCATGCAGGCTCTGAAGGGAATGCTAAGTGGACACCAGGAAGAATCTAAATAAACTTGTGTTATTTCTCCACTAAGTAGATAGTGATTCCGTGAAAATGATCAGTCTGTTTAGAATTTTGCTGGGACATCCAATAATAACGATTAAATTTGGAAGTTTTCATTTATCAACAAATTTTGATTACATATTTAGAGAGTTATTCTCTTCAATGTTTAACAGTGCTGTCTGTTATAGAAATTCTTATTAAGGATTCCAAACACCATATAATTATGTATTTCTGTTATCCTGCTAAGTTATTCTGTGCTGGCAGCCAAGGGCCCTTGGTGGAACAGTGACCCCTTGGGATGCTAAGGAAGCAGAGAGACTTTTACCTGCACAAATGGATAAACAAAATCAGAATGTGCATATGCATGAAAACCAGAGATTCATCTGCATTTCCTTCCTCAGTATTGAATTCCTCTTTGTGTGAATGCACATACTAAACAAATTACAGAGTGAAACATACTGCCAAGAATATTGCAGTAGTACTATTTTTTATTTAACCAAATGAGATATGAAAAACGAAAGATAAGTAAACTAAACTTACATGAAAGAAAATAAACTAAACCCTTCAAAACTGAACAGAAATCCCATTTCTTTATTACAGAATTGAGAAGACTGAAAAGTGAAATCAGTACATAGAAGAATAAAATGTCATAGAAAAAAAGAAGCACAAAACTTTTAACACAGGCTGGTTGAAAGGACGCTCTGAATTCCGTTGATGTTGTTTTATCTTCAGAATATGTAAACCACCTAAGCTCCTTTTTTCTAGTACCAAAAAATGATTTTGAAAGAGATATTCTTTTTTCCCATGCATGTCCATTTTTAACACTTAATTGCCAGTATACTTAAATATAAAATAGTCAATAGTTTTGCAGAAAAGCAGAAATATTTAATTTTTTTTTCTTGGCAAGTTGAGTACCTAACACTTCCAGAATATTAAGAAGAAATGTGATAATTAAGATCATGAAAGCTGTTCTGCCCACACTGAATTTCAAATCCATTGCTCAACTCCCTCTTCCTCACTATTTCTCAGCAACCCAATATTCATGCACCTCACCCCTCAGCTCTGTCGGGGAAGTCGCTGGCATAGGTTACAACGGCTCCTACTTGTTCTGCTTTTTGGTCTGTGTCCCTAACAAGCAGTGACTGTGTCTAAGATGACCCTGCTTGTGGTCTGAGCAGAGATAGTGATTCGTGGCTTATAGTTCAGTGGAAATTAAGTGCTCATTTAGCACACAGCAAACACTGAATAAAGGATGGCTATTATGCTAACACAGCCCATCTATTAAGATTTATGAGGAAACTCGCATAGCATTAAAGTTGTAAATAAGATTAGGACTAATCCCATCTAAGACCCTTCATATTTATGAGTCAGCACTCCAAATTCCCGGTCCCCTATTATCTGCTCTATTTTGTCACATTCGAGTCATCAGCTTCTAAGGTGCTATTTATTCATTTCTTATACTTATTAATAGTTTTCTTTCTCCTTCCCATCCCTAAGTAGAATGCAAATTTCTTGAGGGCACAGGTGTTTTTTGGCAGTTTGTTTTGTGCATTGATGTAACGCCAGTGCTTGGAATAATATCAGATTTATCTTTGAAATGTTTGTTGAATTGAATGAATGAATGAATGAATGATTGAAGTCTAAGGCTTTTCTAGGACAAGCCTAAGGTCACCGACAGCTTCTTGAGATACTTGGAAATTAGAAAGGATATTAAGGATGCATCTCCGCTTCTTAGAAGGAAAAAGCTGGTTAACTCAAATGAATCATTAACTAATGAACTTTTAGGTAGAATTAAAAGATGAAACTGTCATCCAGATATTGTGATTCAGATATTTTGAGACGGGGAGCAACAATGTTTTTGCTGGTCTCATCAGTGAGGCTGTTATGAGTATTTTCCTTTAGCTGTTTTGCATTTCACTCTTTTCTCTCATTCTACTACTGAACTCAAATGTTTTTTTCAATGCATAGATTATTAATGCAAGTTACCATGGCAGGACATTGGGAAACCTATTCTTGGTGTCCATAGAAAAGGCTGTTGATACAGAGATTTTCTGAGGGTTGAATCAATAATCCCATTGTTTCTTCAATACCCAGACGTGTACAGTAATCCTCTGCTTATCTGTGTTTCACTTTCTATGGTTTCAGTTATCCAGAGTATAGTATAATACAACATTTGGCAAGAGAAAGGAAGCACATTCACATAACTTTTATTACAGCCTGTTATTATAATTGTTCCATCTTTTTATTAGTTACTAATAATCTTTTGCTATGCTCATTTGTAAATTAAGCTTTATCATGAATATACGTATGTAAGCAAATATGTTACATGCAATATAGGATTTATTCAATACTGTCTGCAGCTTTGGGCAACTACTGGGGGTCTTGGAATGAATCCCCCAAGGTTAAGGGGAGACCATCTTAAGTATCTTTGAAAAGCAAAAATGTAATTAACCTTTATTTTACCGTCATTTTTCTTTCATATGTAAAACTTATCCTAAGATTTGAATAGTTTGAATCCAAACATGGTTTTTGGTTTTCGGTTTTCATTTTATTTTAGTTTTTTGAGATGGAGTCTCACTCTGTTCCAAGGCTGGAGCGCAATGATGCGATCTTGACTCACTGCAACCTCCACTTCCCAGGTAAAGCTATTCCCCGCCTCAGCCTCCTGAGTACCTGGAATTACAGGCACCCACCGTCATGCCCGACTAATTTTTGTATTTTTGTAGAGATGGGATTTCACCTTGTTGGCCAGGTTCATCTTGAACTCATGACCTGGGATGATCCTCCTGCCTCGGCCTCCTAAAGTGCTGGGATTACAGGCATAAGCCATATGCCTGGCCTGTTTTTTTTTTTTTTTTCCTTTCTTTCTTTTAAATTAGACATTTGGAGCTCTGACACACTTTTAAAATTAATTTCTGGAAATGACTTTAGTAATTACTAAATTTTAAGACAAAACTCGGAAGATAAAATTAGATCTCAAAATTATACTTCCTTCATTACTGGAGAAAATGTGAGCAGCTCAGCTGTCACAGTTAATTAGATTTAGTTCAGGGCCTACATAGGGAAATTTAAGGTTTTCCAGTCAATAATCAAATTATGCGGCTTGCCTCATTTAAAACAGGTGATAGGCTTCAGTGACATGGGAATAATAATGAAAATCTCTGAACAGCCTCTCTTCCAGAGCAGCTCCTGTACCTCCATCGCCCTGAGCCTGAAGGAGTCCAGCTGGAGTCCAGGAGTCCCCTGTTCTCTGGCCTGGTATGCTCCTCCTTCCCTCGTAACCTGGAAAATCTCTCCATTTTTGAAATTTTGGCTTAAAACCCCCCTTCAGTGTCTCCTTACTTGAAATAATTCAGTTATGTAGCACTGGATTGTGTCTGTGATTTACATTTTTTTAGGTAACAATTTGATGAAAGTCTACCTTCTCACTAGAAGGTAAATGGCCTGAGATTAGGGCAAGGCTTTCACCACCATCTTCTTTCCAAGGCACTCCTGGGTGGGGCTGCGGCTCTGGTATAGAGAACGCTTGAATTAACTGAGCAGTGTTATTTTCAGCTTATGGAGAAATCCAAGGCTAGGAAAAAGGAGGCAGTGTTCTAAAGCACAGCCCTGGTAACATTCACACATACATCGTTCAACTTTGTAACATTCTTTTTACAAAGTATAGTGGATTTTATAGCTAGTTCTATCAGAAGAAGGATATGAATGAAACCCCATCTAAAGCATTTGAGAAGGACGCTACACAATGATTTTTACCGCATTACTGTGAAATACCACCAAATAAAACCTCGAATGCTTTTATCACATCAGGAGTCTTGCCCAATAATCTGTTTAGTTCAATATTATTACTATTCAATCAATCAGTTAATCAATCAGTCATATTATGGGCATGGGAGTGCAGGGAAGATACATACAGCTAACCATTATTTTTCCATTTAGAGAAAAGAAACTACTCGTAAGCAGAGAATAACAGTAATTAGAGTTAAGAGCTGGAATGAACAACTACAGAAGAGGCACGTAAAATAGTATCACTGGAGGAACATGGACAATGCCATCATCCTTCGGGATGCTCCCTTTATCTGCCAACATACTTAGCTTGATTTTGCCAAAAAATAATGACAAAAAGTTTCTCACATGATATATGATTGTCTTCATAGGACAGTCGAAAATAGGGAAATGGTGGTTGCTTGGGGCTGAAGTAGGGAGACAGGGGACAAAAGGGTGACGAATAAATAGGGGATTTCTTCTGGAAGTGATAGAATGTTCTAAAATCGACAGTCATCATAGTTGCACAGATCTGCGGATAGGCTAAAAACAATTTAATTGCACACTTTAAATGGGCAAATTTTATGGTATTGGAATTATATCTCAATAAAGTTATTTAATAAAAAAAGTAATAATCTTTGAAATGATAATTCACCAGTGCTTTCAACTAATTATTGGGACTAATTCATAATCCTCAACTTAAGCTTTTCTGTCTGCCTGTTATCTACTTTTATGATGGAAACGGACATAATCACTTTGTCTATAGTGAAAACAAGCTAATTGGATTTGAGTAAAAATAACAGGGGAAGCAGAATGCAGAAAATGTACACAAGCATGTCCATGCACTTATAACAACAGTTGTTATTTAAATATTTTTGCCCAGACATCACTAACAAGTTAAAACGCATACATTTATTATACCTGCTATAAAGGTAGATCAAGTTAGATTTTATTTGGAAAATTAGTACTCAACCCTTTATCTTACAAAATTGCATACTCGATCTTGGTCATTTTGATCCATTTATTTGAGTTTTATTTTATTTAATTTTAATTTTTATTTTCTTTTAGACAGAGTCTCGCTCTGTCACCCAGGCTGGAGTGCAGTGGTGCGATCTCTCACTGCA